GCAGGGTGTGTTCCGTAGGTCTTCTGCTGAGGATTTGGTGGGTATGGCTGGTAGATCAGAGGATGATGGTTTTGTCCGAGTCACAAGAAAGAAACACCCACGGGCTACTAATACTCCACATCCGAGCAGAAGGATCACCAGGAGTCAGTCACATGATAACTCTTCACATTCTCCTTCCCTATGAGTGCCATCATTTGGAATGTGAGAGGTGTAGCTAATGTAGCTACTCGTCGGCGCCTGAAGAAACTTATACAGCTTCATCAGGTTTATCTTTTGGTTATACTGGAGCCCTTTGTTCTTCAGCACAGCTTTGCATATATTCAACGCTATCTGCGCTTCGATACGGGAGCTCAGAATGAATCGAATAAGATTTGGTTTTTCTGAAACTCGGGGACTAATGTTACTATTATTGTTGATCACCCCCAGTTTCTTCACGTTAAAGTTGAGGACCCCAGAATAGCTCGTCCCATCTATTTTACTCCAGTTTATGCTTCTTGTGATGCTTCTGTCAGGAGGGATTTGTGGGCGGGTCTTCACCACATCCCCCTAGATATGGATGACCCTTGGATATTGGGGGAGACTTTAACGTTATTACTCATGATGGAGAGCGCACAGGTCATAATACCCATGATCGAGGCACTACAGCTTTTTCTGATATGATGTTGGACAGTGGTTTAGAGGATGCAGGTTTCCTTGGGATCGATACACTTGGACCAATGGTCGGGTCAGGAAGAGATTGGATAGAGTACTCATTAATTCTTCAGCTGCAGCACTTTGTCGACAGCTTACAGTGAAGCACTTGAATAGGACTTCATCTGATCATTCACCTTTATTACTTCAGTGGACTTTTGATGATGACTTGGGGCCTAGGCCTTTCAGATTCCTCAACGTTTGGACCGAGCATCATGATTTCTTAGCATTTGTCTCTCAGAAGTGGTCACTCCCCACTCATCTTACGGGGATGGCTGCTCTTTGGGAGAAATTCTTTAGGATGAAACAGGGACTGCGCTGGTGGAATCGACATGTGTTTGGAGACATTTTCCAGCGAGTGAGGGATGCTGAGGACAGTGTTCAATAAGATTATTACTAAGCTTTTGAACACTCGGTTGAGTACACTGCTACCGCGCATTATTTCCCCTCCACAGAGTGGTTTCATCCCAGGCCGTCTGATTGGAGATAATGTTTTATTGGCTCAGGAGCTTCTCTACAGTTTGGATGATAGAGTGCGAGGGGGAAACACTATGCTGAAGTTAGACATGGCTAAAGCATATGATCGCATGGACTGGGGCTTAATTTATTCTATATTGGAGGTATTTGGATTTGATCAGATCTGGATTGACAGAATCAGGCGGTGCGTTTCGGAGTGTCATTTCTCCGTACTCCTAAACGGTCGCCCATGTGGTTTCTTTCCCTCCTCACGAGGACTCAGACAGGGTGATCCTATCTCCCCATCCTTATTCATCATTGCAGCAGACTACTTCTCACGCTTGCTCACTCAGAGGTTTCAGAAGTATCCCAGTATGTGTTATCGACATGGAGGTAGTGCCCTTGTCTCACATCTCTCATTTGCTGACGATATGATCATCTTTGCCAACGGTCAGAAACAGTCTATTAGGAGGGTCTTAGACTGCTTGGAGCACTATGAAAGAGTTTCTGGCCAATTGGTGAATAAAGAGAAGAGCAGTATTATACTATCCAAACGGGCATCCACTAGTCAGATCAGACGACTAGAGATTTTGACTCGCTTCAGACATCAGCAGCAGCCTTTCACTTACTTGGGTGTCCCTTTATTCAAGGGGACTAAGAGGAGCTTCCTTTATGATGACCTTATCCAGAAGATAAGGGATAGGATATCAGGCTGGGCCTCACGATTACTATCGCCTGGGGGTCGTATTACATTACTGAGGTCAGTACTTTCTTCCATACCTTTACATCTTCTTCAAATTATGCAGCCGCCCAAGACAGTGCTGAAGAAACTTGAGAGCATCTTTGCCCGATTTCTATGGGATTCTAAGGATCAAGCACGACGTCTACATTGGAGGAGTTGGAAGGCGATTTGCCTTCCTACTGATGAGGGAGGCCTCGGCTTTAGGAGATTACAGGATGTGGTGGACACCTTCTCCATGAAGCTCTGGTGGCTGTTCCGTTCTCAGAGTTCACTTTGGGCTCAGTTTTTACTGGGCAAGTATTGTAAGGGGATGCATCCTTCACTTGCAGCAGTTCCCAGTTCAGCTTCCCCTACCTGGAAAAGGCTGAAATCAGTTGGGCCACGGATGGATCCACACATTGCTTGGCACCTTGGAGTCGATCAGATTCTCTTCTGGCATGATTGTTGGATGGGCGAGTCCACATTGGCATCCCTATTCCCCCACAGACAGCACACATCTGCGAGGGTACAGGATTTTTTTGATGGCACTGGGTGGGATTTTGGACGGCTATTACAGGCCCTTCCTTCTCACATGGCGGAATAGATAGGGGCGATACCTTTATGTGCAGATGCCCCGGACCGAATTGTTTGGAAAATTACTTCGGATGGTGACTTTACCACCAAATCAGCATGGCAACTTGTCCGTTCGGTTCGCCAGCCTCAGGACTCATATCGACTACTGTGGAGCTCTATTTTGCCTGCCACTATTTCATTCTTCTGCTGGAGACTATGGCAGGATCTCATTCCGGTAGATGTTGTTATTCAGAGGAGAATTGGATGTCAGTTGGCTTCTCGTTGTCAGTGTTGTTCCGAGATTGAGACCATCAATCATATTTTCACGAGCAGCAGCATCTCCGATCAGGTATGGCAGCACTTTGGAGACATCTTTCAGATACCTATGACTTCAGGTTAGGGGGTCAGACAGAGGTTCCAGAGATGGCGGTATTCTGGACAACACGTTTGCCTTGGACACATTCGTATTATCATTCCTCTACTGGTATTTTGGTTTCTATGGACTGAGAGGAATGATGCGAAGCATAGAGGTATTCGTATGGTGGCTAGACGTATTATTTGGAGGGTCTACCGCATGATCTCCTTCCTTCATATGGGAGGACTATTTCGAGTTGAGCATTGGCGAGGAGATGTGACACTTGCATCCATTTTTGGAATTTCTTTGACCCATCCTCTCCCACCACCACCTGTTATGGTTGTTTGGCGCACTCCACCTATTGGATCCTACAAGATCAATACCGATGGATGCGTTAAAGATGGATTTGCAAGTGGTGGAGGCATCATTAGGGACCACGCAGGATACTGTATCAGGGCATTCTCAGCATCGTATGGAACATGTTTCATTTTGGAGGCTGAGCTCAGAGCCATACTAGATGGGCTTCTATTGGCCAGAGGACTTGGGATATCAGCTATTTGGATTGAGGTAGATTCAATGCTGGCCATTCACTGCATCATCAAAGGTGGAGGACCATGGACGATTCAGGGTATTCTAAGACAGATCAGAGACGTCATTTGCCTTGACAGAGACACAGTTTCTCATATCTACAGAGAAGGTAACCAGGTTGCAGATTCTCTTGCTTCAGAGGGTTGGGATCACCAATATTACCAAGAATATGGACCACTTGACCTGCCTCGACAAATTAGGGCATTGGTGCAGATCGACAGATATGGATTGCCCAGCTTTAGAGGTTCGTAGTTTAGGCAATCATTTTTTCATTTTTCTTGTACAAGGGAGTAGTACTTCCTCATTTACTTTGTTCTTTTCTAATTTTTCATTTGTTGCACTGTTGCTTTTTGGAGGTCAGGTTTATGCCCCCCTCCTTTCCTGTACTCTTGATTTTTATGAAATAAACATGGTTGGGGAACCCTTAACCCCCATCGACCTTCCTTGGTGGACCCTAAAAAGTCATTAAGGATGTGTGGATGTCTTTTCTAAAAAAAAAAAAAAAAAACCCAAAACCCAAAACCCTAAACCCTAAACCCGAAAACCCGAAACCCGAAACCCGAAACCCGAAACCCCAAACCCAAACCCCAAACCCCAAACCCTAAACGGCCTCTACGGTTCTCACCTTGGGAAACGCGCCTGACCGCATTATTCAGCGTGAAATTCTGCACAAAACTATTGAAAATCATAAAATTCTGCCTCCGGTTTATTTTGGCCAGAAAATGGAGCCGCTAGCGGCCGGCCGGCGGCGTTCCGGTGGTCCTCCGGCAACTTTTGATCAGAATGTTCTTCCAGTTAATTGAATCCATTTTCGTCATCGGTTTTTCCACATGAGGCCCAGACAGTGCTCAATCAGGGTCGAAAGACCTATGCTACTACAGTTTCTGGCCGTCCGGGCCTGTCTCAAGCTGAACGGAGGTCACGAAAGTCGTTTGCATCGGTTATACAGGGTATAGATGACTCTTCCACTGCTGGGTTTGCTGCTAAAGAACCCTTTATACATATGGGTGAGCCAAAAATAGTTTTGACTGAATCCGAGGAGGCTACACTTGCTGATCCTTACAAGTATACACTTGTGGGAAAATTTCCACATCGCAAGCCAACCATGAGGAAGGTACGTGAGATTTTTTCTAAGTTTGGGTTCCATGGTTGTTTCGAGGTGGGACTGATTGACACAACACACATTCTTATACACCTTACACATGAGGAGGATTACAGCAGGCTTTTTCTTAAACCTTCATGGTATATTGATGGTTGTCCGATGAGAGTCCTTAAGTGGACATGTGACTTTACACCTGAGCAAGAGACTCCGATAGTTCCCGTATGGGTATCGTTCCCTCTGCTTCCAGTACATTTACATGCGAAGGGGTTCCTTTTCACCTTATCTAGGGCAATAGGAATGCCCTTGAGAATTGATGAGGCCACCACTGACTTGAGACGACCTAGTGAGACAAGGGTATGCATTGAGGTGAATTTGGGGCATAAGTTGCCCGACAGGGTTTGGATTGAGCGCGCTGGTAACCGTGGCTTCTGGCAGACAGTTATCTATGAGAAGTGGCCAATTTTTTGCTTTTCTTGTAAACACTTGGGTCATTCTTATGATCAGTGTACTACGGTTCCTCCTCCTCCTCCTACAGTTGTTGTGCACCCCCCTGTTCGGCCCCCTATTACTAGGACTGATAAGGATAAGGGCAAGGTGACGTTTGTGGAGCCAAAGAAGCAGTGGGTTCCAGTTTCAGCAGTGCCTTCTGTGCTTCCCACTACTACTATTGCAGTTGTGACAGAGTCAGAATCTACATCGGCAGTTCCTACCTCTACTCGTATCACAGTTGATCCAGAGGTACCTCCGTATATTCATTCAGTTGCTGAGCCTACTCCAAATGCTCCTATCGAGGTACCCACTTCTCCTATTATTACTTCCATAGCTCCTATTCCCACAGCTACTACTGATGTACCCCCTGAGCGGACGCATATGAGTTCTCCACCATTGAAGACACACACAGATGGTACTCAGTCAGCGCAGGGATCAGGTACCGGGACAGTTCCTCAAACCACTCTTGCACAGGGGTTGTTGGCTGAGATCAGCTCAGAGCGACATGGTGTCAAGCATATGTTGATTGATCACTTTAAGAAGGACCATGGAATGAAAGTTGGATCTACCATGAGATTTGCTATTGAAGACTTGGTTTTTAAGCTCTTTGGAGAGGGACCTTCTGTGAGTAAGACTCCTACGCAGACACCTTCACCTAGTCCTTCTATCACAGCTCCTACACACAATAAGGTGAAAGAACATATACAGAGAGACATGGATGGCATGGGACTTGGAAACTGCATGCAAAATGCAGAGGACGATGTCCCTACAGCAAGCAGGTCAATCTCCCATGATTCAGATGTCGTAGCACAGAACACCATGAGATTAGACGCACCTACGACTAGTACAATGAGATCAGATGCACCCGCTTTTCGCCCGACATTCAGTGCACCACCATCTGAACAGTTCTTATCACCAAAGCAGGCTCCTACACGCAGGCGAGACCCCTCTCCAACGAGCGAGCCAGACATCGCAAACTACTATGATCCGGAAATGTTTCAAACCAGACGCATGACTCGATCAATGTCTATGTACTACCACCCGAAGATTTACCCTCGGGAATACCCTTGAGTACCTTTCATTAGTTTTTGCTCGTGTCTTGTTTACTGTGATTGCATTTTATCTTCAGATATTTGTTACAATTTACATTTGCTGGAGGTCAGGTCCATGCCCCCTCCTCTATTTGTTTTCTCGCTTTTCATTATATAAAATAAACCACACTAGTGGTATTTGCTTAAAAAAAATAATAATAATAATAAAAAATAAATAAATAAAAAAAAATAAATAAATAAAAATAAATAAAAAAATAAAAAAACCCCTAAACCTTAAACCCTAAACCCTTAAACCCTTAAACCCTAAACCCTAAACCCTAAGGTAAGTATGACTCCCAATTACCTCCTAGATCCAAAACACATGTTCTTAGCTTGTCTTCCAAAGTTTGGATGGTCCTTTCAGACTGACCATCGGACTGAGGGTGATATACTATACTAACGTTCAGCTTCGTTCCCATAGCTCCTTCCAAAATTTGGATGTGAACCTTGGGTCTCTGTCAGACATAATAGATATAGGTACGCTGTGTAATCGCACAACCTCTTTAATGTACAACTGTGCTTATTGGTCTAAACTGAATGTCATTTTCACTGGAAGAAAATGAGCTGACTTCGTTAGTCAATCCACTACTACCCATATAGCATTATTTCCTCTTGCTGACTTCTGGAATCCAACCACAAAGTCGATCATGATATTTTCCCATTTTCATTCAGGTATATTTAGTGGATTTAACAATCCAGCTGGTTTTTGGTGTTTAGCCTTAACATGATGACATACCATGCACTTCTGCATGTATAGCCCTATACTTCTTTTCATATTTCTCCACCAAAATGTATCTCGAAGATCTCGATACATTTTCGTACCACTGGGATGTGCAGTGTACGGGGTGGAATGAGCTTATTTTAATATCTTGTTTCTCAAGGCTTCATCCTTAGGTACGCAAATTCTTTCTCTAAGCCTGATCCTCAGTTATTCCAAAGTCCTTTTTCTTATCGGTACCAACTTCATTCTTAATCTTCTTTAAAAATGAGTCTTTATTTTGTGCTTCTATAATTCGATCTTTAAGAGTAGGTCGAATTATTGAAGCTGCTAGACGAGCAGTGACTTGTCCTGGTGTGGTAACCACTTCGATCTGTAACTTTTCCAAGTCCTTGACTAACTCCACTTGAGAGGTGGGTAGTGACGTCAATTGTCCCATTGATTTTCTACTTAGAGCATCGGCCACAACATTAGCCTTACCCCGATGGTAGTGAATAGTGCAGTCGTAATCGTTCACCAATTCCAACCATTGTCTTTATTGCATATCCAATTCCTTCTATGTGAGGAAATACTTGAGACTTTAGTGATCTGTGTAGCTATCAAACTTCCGTCCATAAAGTAGTGTCGCCATATCTTCAAAGCGTGTACTGCCACTGCAAGTTCTAAATTATGCATCGGGTAGTTTTGCTCATGTTTCTTCAATTGTCTTGAAGCATAGGCTATCACTTTTCCATTTTACAATAGTACACATCCCAATCCTCGCTTGGATGCATCGCTGTATATAACAAACCCTTCCGTACCTTCAGGTATTGTTAATACAGGTGCTGATATCAACTTCTGCTTAAGTTCTTGGAAACTTTGTTCGCATTTTTCCGTCCATTGGAATTTTACTCCCTTCCTTGTAAGCTGCGTCATTGGTCCAGCTATTTTGGAGAATCCTTCTATGAATCTCCTATAATATCCAGCCAATCCTAGAAAACTCCGTACCTCGCCAGCATTTGTTGGTACTTTCCAGTTGGTTACTGCTTCTACTTTTGCGGGATCTACTTCAATCCCTTGGGCAGTAACTACATGTCCAAGAAATCCAACTCGTTCAAGCCAAAACTCGCACTTCTTGAATTTGGCATACAGCTTTTCCTTGCATAATACCTCTAAGGCTATTCTCAAGTGCTCTTCATGTTGCTCCTTACTCTTGGAATATATCAAAATGTCATCGATGAAGACTATAACAAACTTATCCAAGTATTGATGAAACACTCAATTCATCAGGTCCATGAACACTGGAGGTGCATTGGTTAGCCCAAATGGCATCACCGTAAACTCGTAGTGTCCATATCGAGTTCTAAAAGCTGTCTTTGGTATATCCTTTGTCTCTACTTTCAGTTGATGGTATCCCGATCGTAAGCCGATCTTGGAAAATACCTTAGCTCCTTTCAATTGATCTAACATATCCTCGATCCTCGGGAGTGGGTACATATTCAAGATGGTTAACCGATTTATCTCCCTATAATCTATGCACATCCTCATGGTTCCATCTTTCTTCTTTACAAACAACATTGGCGCTAGTCTTCTGGTACCAAATAGCATGAGCTCTTTCCAGCATTTCACGGTATGTGGTGAAGCGATGGGACATAAGTATCATGCTTATATCCGAGTTCAGCCCTTGTTCAAACCTTCGTACTTTCTTATCTTTCGTATCCACTAGATGTGGAGCATACCTTGAAAGTTGATCAAACATCCTCTCATACTCAGTCAGGGACATAGTCTTTTGCTTGAGTTGGAGGAATTCACTTTCTTTGTGATCCCTCAAGGACTAGGGAAAGTACTTGTCCATTACTTTCCCTTTGAATTGCTCCCAAGTCAATTCTGCTTGTTACTCAGGGGTCCTTGTCCTTGATATCGAGTCCCACCAGTGACTTGCATCACTGGAGAACATGAACTCAGTACACTGGACTTTCTGAGCATTCGTGTACCCTATCAATTGGAATATATGCTCCAACTTGCGAAGCCACTCCTCAAATGCAAGTAGATCAGCTACTCCGTTGAAAGTAGGGGGCTTGTGCCTTCGAAATTACTCGACCATTGAAGCATGGTTTGGAACATTAGGAGCTATTGGTAGGGGTTGAGCTTGGTTCGGGTTTTGCCTACCTAGGTCTTAAACCGCTCGAAGGAGGTCTCTTATCAAGTTTTGGTTTGCGCGGGCCATTTCCTTTAAACAAAACATATGGTTCTTATTAGATTCATTCTTCGAATACTAAAGCAATGAAGATAGTGTTTTATTTTTTGGCATAAGGGAAGTTATTACAAGGATTTAAATCTAATCCTTATAAGTTCTACGGATCTTCTTTGGTGGAGCTTCATCTTCGGAGGAGTCTTCCTCCTCAGGTCCAGACTTTATGTCCATCTCAACCTGTGGCTCAGGCTCAGGATCGTTCTCTAAATCATCCTTGGGTTCTTCTTCGGGATCTTCTTCCTCAGCCAAAGGTTCCTCCTCAGGCTCATCATGGATTACATCATCCCACAAATCAATCAGGGCATGGCAATACCTCTCGAACTCGAACAGGTTTGGGTTGCCTTCTAACATTTCATCTCTAATCGTGACTCCCATATCTCCCCATTGAGGTGGGAGGGAGTGTATGAGGTTATTTATGGCCTCAATATGCGTGATCTCCGTACCAGCATTAACCGCCGTCGTGCATCTCTCATAGATGTCATACACATGTTCGCTAAGCGGTCGGATCAGATCAGTTACATAGTTTTCATAGGAATGAATAGCAATTCTACGGTTCAACGCTCCTCCATATGCCCTAGCCGTTCTGCGAGTCATATCTATTGCATTTTCACATACACCATACTTTTTCTTTGCTTAAAGAAAACATGCAAATATTTAAACTTTCATAACATGCAATTCCCTTTAAGCCCTTAGCTTTTGCCCAAGTCCATTACATATCTTTAAATAACACACCTCTAAATCATAACAAAGCATCATAACATAAACATAATCATTAACTTTAAACATGAACATACCTGGGCCATAGGATGAGAGTGATGGACGGATGCACGATGCCATGGAATACCTTAAACTTTTCATTTTCCTTTTGTTTTTAAAAAAAAAATACTTGGTCTACAGAACCGGCTAAACCTTGCTCTGATACCACACTGTAACACCCCGACCCCTAGTGGACTGGAGCGCTACTTACTTTACTTAGCTTAACCGGTGGTTTAGTGACAAGTGTATACGTTTTAGCGGAAGCTTACATTTTCAGATACCTTAAACAAAAACACTGAATCATTTTTCAAACAACAAAATGTAATTTATTTGAAGAAAATATAACTTGTTCTCGCATTCTGCGTTATTCAAAACTTTAAAGAAATAACATTGGAAAACATTTCATAAAAATAAATCCAAATCACTTATTCACCGAATTTCCATGGGCTCGTTGCATCACTCTCCATCTTCTCCTCCATCCATGGCCGAGGTAAAATTCATTCAATCTGTAGAGATGGGATTAAACCCGTGAGTTGAAAAACTCAATAGGTGTCATAGGTGCATTCGTGATCAAGCTATACATTTTCAAACATTAACTTTATAACTTTTCATACATGCCGTACCCGGAGGCACCATTTGACATGAAGGGGTATGCCGTACCTGAGGGCATCATTTGACATACGAACATTTCTTCAACATAGAGGGGTATGCCGTACCAGAGTACCATTTGACATACAACCATTAACATAGAGGGAAAACACTTCTTAAACTTCTAGGAAAAATAGTTTTCCTCCCTCCCTTTTTCTCTCTTGGAAACTCTTTCTTTAGTATGTAAAAGCTCTTGCTTTTGGTGTGAGAAAAAATGAGTGAAATGAGGTCTCTATTTATAGGTAAATATCCCATAACTTAAAGGAAATGAAGGGTCAAATTTCATTTAAGAGAGAAAACATGGGTGCCATTTAAGTTTGAGGTTAAATGCTTCAATTTAGTGGGGTTTTTATTGCCAAAAATGTGGGTGGCCCTTTGAAAAAATAATTAATGAAAATAAATATTTAAATTCTAGAGAAAAACGAAAAATTTTCATTTCAGGCAGTTTCGGTCGACCGGTTGTAGTCCGGTTGACACTGTATAGCCTTCAGTGTTTCTATCATAACTTCTTCTCCCGATATCCGATTATGGCAGTTCAAAGTGCGTTGGAAAGCTAACTCAAAGAGATACAACTTTTATTTAGTTATCATTTTCCAAATCAAATGTTTCCTATATCAAAAATGGGTCTCAAATGAGACT